GCCTCAAATAATTGAAAATGCCGAAATCTGGTGGCAAAACATATTTACTTTTATTATTCTGGTGCCTGCAGTTTGGATTACGTACATGACAAACATCTACTTCCAGCCGCTGCGAACAGCAAACTGCGAAGAGGTGACCGGGTCAGAGGCTGCTGTTGAAGGGGATTCCTAGTGACAGAGCACCCCCGGTGTACAGGGGTCTGAGCGGCTCTGACAGTGAAATAATATTTGAAGGCAGGATGGTAATCTGGATGAACTGACTGCACTGATGAAGTTTTCAGGTGGACTTTCTCACTAAAAAAACATTTAAACTACTTTTTACCCACTGATCAAAGCAAAGGCATGCTTCTCTGCTTCACTACAGCTGATTTCCATTGATAGCTGATTAACAGACTTTTGCTGAACTGCAGTCATTAGAATCAGCTATGATGAAGCAGGGAAACCTCTTAGACCTGCAGGAAAGCGGCACTTTGGCAGGCCTGATGTGGAGGCTGGATAGTTCTGCTCTGTTGTTGCGCATCAGAACACAGCAGGCCTGACTGGATCGCTGAGGGACAGACGTGGCTTCAAATGGCTCTGAGCTGTAGGTTTATTACATGTGAGCAAACAGGCAGATTATTGGTCATAAATTCATATTTACTGTAATAAACTTTAACCTCTGAGCAGGTCTCTGTTTGCTCTGACTGGGCTGGTGGGTCTATAGAATACTAATCCAGGCTGAGCTAATTGTCCAAATGGCAGCCTGGCTTATTTGTCTTTTTTTTGGGCTGGGGGGCAGGGGGGTCACGGTTAAGACCGGAGAACACAAACCGTTTTAGGGAAATGGGAATTCAGACAATAAATTAGATGGAGCAAATTAATTGGTTTGACTGTGTGAACGCTTCTAAAGTTCATATCTTCCAAAATCAATCAGTCAGAGCAGGAAATTAGAGCCAATAATGGAGCAGGGTGATTCTAACGAGGCTCGGCAACACGGAGAAAAATAGGTCCGACAAGATAATACCTTCCTTTGTGCCTTCAATCAATACTCTAAATAGAACAGGTTCATTAGTGTTCCAGGCCCGTTCACACCTCCACAGTCGCTCACTAATTGCAGAGCTGCATTGATTGGAGTCCAGAGGAGCTCAGGAGTTCCTGTTTAACATTAAAATGCAGCGTTTGAAACCCCCACAGCCTCGGTAGAGAGAACACTGAGTCCAAAGAGTATCAAACTGTTCCCAAATCAGAGACAGGACCCGATGCACCCAAAAACATCACTGAGGCTCAGGTTTAATAAACCTCTCAAACTGGATCCAGGTGAACTTTGACTTTGTGAGACTCAGCTTCTGCTGAAAAAAAAAACTCATTAACAGAGGAGGAGCCTGGGAGCTGGAGTCCATCCATGAAGGATGGAATCAAGGTGCTAAAAGGTCACAAAGAGCACAGAATCTCTTTAGCAAGATTCTCAGGGGAGCTTTTGTTCGGTGTCTTGATTTTGGATCTTATTTTGAGTCTGCAGGTATTAAGACTTCCTCTTCCTCAAAGACCTGTCAGGTTCGCTCCTCTTAGGTTGGATTTGGACAAATATATTTAACCACAAACCTTTAAACTCTCCTTTATGTCATGTTGGGTAGTTCTGAATAGTCAGTATCTTCTTTCAAAATGTTCCAACAGGAGAAAAAAATTAATTATTTCTTCTTTTAAAAGTCCCAAGAGATCAAATCTTGTACTTTGCAAGTCAGTGGACTCTAAAGTGCTTCCATTCAGTCATTCATACACTGATGGTGGTAAGCTAGATTGAAGCCACAGCTGCCCTGGGGCACACTGACAGAAGTCAGACTGAGATATAGAGACACTACCAGGCCCTGAGCACCATCACTTGGCGAGGAAGGTTCAAATGTCTTTATTAAGGACACAACAGCTGAAACAGACGAAGCTTTGCAGTGCAGCTCGTCCTCAGGTAGCAGGACGAGCTGCACGGTAAAGGAGAGCCATCCTTCCACTAATGCTGAGATCAATGAGAGCATCTAGTGATAATCAGTTTCAATCCTCTAAACATCTTATTTACATATAAGTAAACAACCAAAACAAAAATTGATTGAAAGCAATAAATTGAAATTTACCAACCTAAGAAATTTAGAATAAATAAAGATGCAATTAATTAAATAATAATATGAATAAAAGATACACCAGAAAAGCATCAGAAATCTGAGTCGTTCAATATTTATAGTAAAATACAACAACAGATAAATAACTAGAGAAAATAAAATGAAAACATAGGAACCTTAGTGCATCATTTTAAACCCTGATTCCTTTTAGATTCATATGAAAAGTATCTGGTTGGTTCCTGTTCTATCAAGTGAGAAATGCTCCCAGCTGTGCTCCATGGTGTCCCGTCCAGAGGTGGGAATGATCATTTTCTTTTATTGTGTTGCAAACATGTCTGAGGGAAACCTGCCTGTTGTTTTATACATGATCTGGTCTGATGCAGGAAAAGGTCTGATGCAGGAACACAGGATTCAGATCTAAATCCACGGCAGGACAAAAAGCCCATATTGTTTTTTCTTTACTGTTGGATCTCTGCATTGTTTCTTTTTTTGTGTTCAGTTTGACTAAGGATTAAACAATGATATGATAAATGTGGGCCTCTCTGCTCAGTTTCTCTTCAGTACATAAATCAGTTAACAAATTATCTGATTCAACATAAAGTCAATATGTTAGATCAATGAAAAATATCTCTGCTCTTTACACTGACCTGTGCACTTCCTGCTGCTGTCGTCCTTCTTGGACGAGCTCATCAGTTTGCAGTTGAAGTTCTCCTCCCAGTACTCAGCAAACCACACGTTCCTGCGGTTGTTCTCCAGGGTCCGCGACATGAAGTAGGAGTCGAAGCCTGGAAGACAACCAGCAGCGGATTTTAGTCATCAGAAGCTGGAGCCACTCCAGCACGAACACACACAGCGTCGGCGTACAGGACGTGTCCTCTGATGTATGGAAGTGTTTATCTGCTCATCTTTAATCGGAAGCATCATGTCGTTTAGCTGAAGTAGAGTCAGAGGGGAGCACTTCAGAAAGGAGCTCCTCCACATGTTAAACTGATACCTTCTGCCGGGTTGAACAGCTCCTGGCAGCATCTGGGTAAAGCCTCACATGGAGGCAGAACTATTGGATCCATCCAGAACCTCTCACTGAAAACTAACAGAAAAGTATCCCATTGCCTCCAAACAGCCTCTGCCAACTAAAATCTACAGGTTTTTCCTTTCAAAACCTAAAAACTGGAGCTTTAAGAAACAGCTTTCAGCTCAGAAATTAAAAAATCGAAGTTGATCATCTCTTCCTGAGTCCAACTTCCTTTCTGCCTCTGCTGACAGCTTGTCTGCTCCTCTCCATCACTCTGAGCCCCACTGTCTTCAGTAGGAGTTATGAGGAGGCTTTTATCTAAAGAAGTGCTTTTAATCTGCTCCATATACCTACTGTCATCAGACTGAGCAGCAGCCGAAACGCTTCACTGTCACAGAGTCTGCTCAGATGTCCTTGAAACTGTGAAATGATCCCAGACATGCATAAATCTTTATAATTTCTGACAGGACTAAATTAGGATTGTGACCTCGTTAGGCTGAAGGTCAGCAGGAGGTGTTAAGGGAGAGGAGTCAGTGAGGATGTGACTAAAGTTAAGGATAAAAGGTGAAAACTGAAAGAGAAATCGAGTTAAAACTTGCGGAAGCGATCTACTGGACGGTTCTCTTGCTGGGTATTCACTCTTTCATTGTGTTCAACCATAGAACTCTGTCTCCAGATCCATTATGATATATAAAGTTTATCTGTTATTCTGTTTTCAGGATCTATTTCTATATAAACAGGAATCAACTTTTTTCCAAGTAGGTAAGACATCAGTATTGGCTTTAGGGAAGCAACAACCTTTACCCATGAATGCATAAATCATCATGTCACCTACAAACTATATAAAGTCTAACATTCCAGAAAGAAGATCTCAGAAAGCTTCCCATCATTGGAGGTCCCAGCCCAAGGTAAGGAAATGAGGTTTAGGGAAATGACCTGTATCCTAGAGTCTCCATGCCTTGGTTGCAGGTTCTAGGCTAAAAGCCATTACCCTGCTTCAGCCTCCTGAAGGAGAAAGCCTGATTTCTCAACAGCAGGAATTATGCTGGTAAAGCTGTGTCTGGATGTAGCATTAAAAACATCCCTGCTCATTCATCTGCAGTATTCGTGTCCATGTCCTACTCCTTTTTAAAAAAAACAACTTTTTTTTATCACCTCCACCAAAACCTGCTCTGATGTCCCTCCTCTGGGGTTAGAAGATACGGCCATGTCTGTGTCTGATTCCCATGACCACTTAGAGGTTCCCAGTGATCATCTCTTTAAAATAATCCTTTTGTGTTTGTCAGTCAGTAAATGTCCATTCTGTGTAGAGTCAGGTTTAAATGCACAGGAAAGTTCACTTCCTCTCTGTTAAACCAAAGCTGGCTTCACCTCTCTGCAGATTGTTTTTGAAGATCTTTCCAGCATCCTCTGGGTCATGACTGTCAGAAAGCGTCTGGAAGCTGCAGCCTGTCTCCCTGTTGAAGTACTGTGGCTGCTGGCTGCCAGAGGGGAGCTCAGAGGTCACACAGCAGTGCGGTTTGCTGTGCGGCCATCGCTGCTCCTAACACAATCTGTGGAAAATCATTTTGGAGAGCTTTCATCTTGTTTTGGCAGGAATGATTTAGAACAAACTCGGGGTTATGTGGAAAGCAGCACCAGACCCTACAGCTGCACAACACAAACACAAAAAAAAATATCTGTTTACATTTTTTAATGGGATTGTGTTTCCAGCAGGTAAATGGCAGCAGCGGAGTTAGACTTTTATAGTTGGGGGATGGGGGGCAGATTGGTGATCAAGGCTATCTCTGCACTGCAAAAAAATAAAATCTATGTCATTTTCTTAAATAAAGTGCATTTTTTTCTTACATTCAAAACAAGATAAAACAACTGTAGACTCTTATTTCCAGTGTATAATATCCAAGTTTCTTATTTTAGGTTCATCATATTTACCTACTCAAATTAAGGGTAAATACAATTATTTTAAGAATTTTTTAAATAATTTGAAGATTGATTTTGCAGCGTGAGGGACCCACTGATTATGAGAGTAAATATCTTCTCAATCATTTACAATTAGTTTCTAACCGCAAATTATTTAAGAATCACTTGGGCACAAAGGGGATGAGAGCTTTTGAATTAGTTAGCAGTTTATCCTAATTGGCTATATTCCTCTGTATCTCCACTTCAAGGGGCTCATCTTCTTCACCAAGTTTTTGAGGGTTGTTGTGATTTGATTCTAATGTAAATAAAACAGACATATATTTATATATATATATATCTATATAGACATATCTATATAGATATATAT